AATGCAAGCAAAAATCTGAAATTATCCACATGGGTGGCTGAAGATAAATGGTCCAACTTAGTTATATGCACAAAATCATTAAACATATAGTATAAAATTTAAAACATAAATGACTTTTGTGCTTAGGCTTGGGTCCCATCTCCATGCAAATACAGGTATTCCAAAACCTTCAGAATCCTGCAGATTTCTGGTCCCAAGCTATGAGAGATATTCATCCTATACCAGCAATAACAAGGCTTTAATAAACCACATCTCAATATGAAATTCTGCTCTTCACATACTCAACACTCAAGTAATACATAGAAAGGTGATTTACAGTAGCACCCATTAAGCATTTGCTTGTAATATATCACATATTTTGAATTAGTTTCACAGAGAAAGATTTTAACTTTTGATTACTCACTAATTTATTGTAAAACGATACAAAGCCATATCCTTTTGATTTTCCTGTTGCCATATCTTTAACTACCCGTGCATCCCTGGGAAGAGAAGCACAGTTATATGAGGAAAATATTAAATATTTCCAAAATAAAAACTAAAAGGAACCACACACACGGTATTGTGAGCATAATTTTCCCTATTATAATCTCAGTAACTCCTATCACTATCACCATTCCTATACTCTCCCTAATCCTTCTTTACCTGTTAGAAAAAAGCAGTAGGACAAAAATAACATGTAATAAACATGCAACCTATCCATATAACCTACACTTTCTATAACTAGACTGTTCAGATCTGAAATTTTTAAAAGGAACTAAGTTTCCTTTTCTAATACTCTATTGGCTAGGGTTCACTAAGGTTCACTGTTCTATAAATTACTGTAACATTTCTAACTATTTTTACCATGCATTTTCTAAATAAATGCCCTCTGCCTAGTGATATTAAATATGAAATATTAAAAAATTGAAAAAGAGGAAAAAAATAGGAATTAAAAGGCATACATGGCCTGTTAACAGATTTCTTTATTTTTCTTGGTCAATTCTCTACCATCATTTTGGAGTTTGGGCAGCTGTAAATTTTGAAAAATTGACATTTTCAGAAATTTAAGAAAGGAGAATAAAACTAACAACAATGCTAAGCACACCAGTACGAAAACAACAAATTTTACACATAAATTTTAGTGAGTAAGTTAAAATGATTGGAAATATAGAACTGCACTGAATATAGAATGTTAAAATGTAAATACTAAAATATGTATATATAAATAATGTATAATAAGAATAAATAGAAATGAGAAAAAAAATCTACAACTGAGTTCCAGTGTGCACAGTTCCTTGCAGTTAGCTTCAAGATCCTGTCCATTCTTATGAGCATTTCTGTAAAATAATCAGAATGCTATTACTTTTAATTGTGACTTGGACTTTAGAAAAACTGCAGGTCTCAGGTATAAATAAAGAGTGAGAAATAGCAACCTGTATTAAACCTCTTTATATTGGCTCATAAACAGTACTACTTACCACACTGAGATAAAAAGCAAAGTAAACAAAACAGACAAAATAAGATTTATGTTTCATTTGTAAATATGTACAGAATATATAGAGAGAAAATATTTATTTTTATTTTTAGAAGAAATATATTCCTGTAAAGTTAACACAAAGTGGTCAAGTTTTGTTGTAGAAGCTAGATTATGCAACAAAGAAGACAGATATTGCTACAACACTTACAGGAAAGCTTGCAATGTTAAAATGTGCAGTTTAAAAACTATGGATATTTGGCAATTAATCTCAATTTATATTGGTTTATACAAAGAAAATGTATGTTTAGAATTGAAAAACACTGATGTAGTTAAAAACTTACCAGAAAGATGTGAGTTTTAATCTCCATAATCAAAAGCCCTTAATAAATGCCACTTTCAAAAGAATACATGCATACAACTGGGTTTTATAATTTGCTATCCTACATAATATAATTTCTCTGCAGTTCAACACTATCTATATAATCAGGAAAGATATAGGATACTTTGGTGCTTCTAACATGTCTTTATAGAACTCCCAAAACACAGTTTTATTCATTTTGCCACCCGCAAACACATTGCAAATGTTGAAAGCACCCAGCTTTCAAAAGATACTGAAACCATGTTTATATTTGTATGGGACAATATGATACAACGCCCACTCCCACCACAAGATCACCACAAACTTTAAAGGAACAGTTTGAACAAAGTTAAGGACATTAACTATAAACAGAACAGCAATCTTGTATCATGACTCTTTCTGTATGAATGGTTTAAAGTAAAAACTATGGTACTTACGATATTTTGCCAAAAGGAGCAAATGCTGACTTGATATCTTCTGTTGTTATTTCTGGACTTAAATCTCCCACAAACACATGAAAGTGATCTAAAGGAAAACAGAATGTAATTGTTATTTTTAATTCAGATAGATCTTATGACATCTAAGCTGTGTCGTTGCTATATAAAAACATACACAAACCACTGTTATTGTTATGCAACTCATGAACTATTTATGAAGATGAGTGCATTTCAAACAATCTCATAAATGTAATAATAATAATAATAATAATAATAATAATAATATACTGCAAGAAGTTCACGCAGACAGACTACAAGCAGAGGCATAACACCGTTGCTCAGATGATTCATTGGAACTTGTGCCACAAATACCATTTGCCTGCAACAAAGAACTGGTGAGATCACAAGCCGGAAAAAGTTACAGAAAATTAACACGTCTGGGACTTCTGAATTCAGACAGAGTTCTGGAGCACAATACTCCTGACCTCACGATCGTGTTAAAAAACAAAGTATGGATCGTCAATGTTGCAATCCCAGGTGACAGCAGGCTTGAAGAGAAACAACTGGAAAAGCTGACACGATATGAGGATTTAAAGATTGAACGGCAAAGACTCTGGCAGAAGCCAGTCAATGTGGTCCCAGTGGTGATCGGCACACTAGGTGCAGTGCCTGAAGACCTTGGCCTGCACTTAAACACCATCAGCACTGACAAAATTACCATCTGCCAGCTGCAGAAGGCCACCTTACTGGGATTTGCATGCATTATTTGCCAATACATCACACAGTCCTAGACACTTGGGAAGTGTCCGACATGTGATCCAATACAACAGCCAGCAGAGTGATCCTGTCTGCTGTGGACTCATCTTGCTGTGTTTCAAATAATAATAATAATTTTTCATTTGTTACCTGCCTCACGAGATGTGGTTAACAAATCACTAATTAGGATATTTTGAGAAAGAGAGACACTATGCAAATGTGAAGCGATTTAGCTACTGCACAAAGTCAAAATGCAAGAGAAAAGTGGCAAAATGAGTAACTAGTTGTCTTTGGTATAACTGTTTCAGCAAATTAGTGTTACTTACTTGATGTATCTTTTTTCTGGCTACTTGGTGTTGTTGCCCAATTCACTTTTACCTCCTGAAAAGAAGGAACAAATAAATACCAACGTAATTCTAGAAAGCAAGCATCAACCAAAACAACAAAAAGGTTTATTTACTCCTTATAAAACATTGAGTTTAATCTAAGAACAGAATCAAAATGTTTGCCAGGAGTCATAAGTAACATATTCACTTCACTTGCTACATCTTTTTTTCAATGCAACATACCTTTCCCAAAATTTTTCTCCCATTCATTGCAGCTAATGCAGCAGCTGCATCCCTGTGTTCATAAAATTCCACAAAGCAATAAGGATCATTGCTTGTATGCTGCAAAACAGAAAATCCAACAGAAGAGTTGACCCTTCTGCTATCGGGTTGCTGAGAAGAAAATCCGGGAAAATATATTACTTAAACTAGAAAAGAAAATGTAATTATAAATGCTGATAAAATAACTATTAAGAACTGCTGTCCGCACCACACTCAGTGCTTAATAACATTCACAAAACTGCACTTGTGCTCCGAATCTAGAGATGAACATTAAATAAAACTGTAGGTTTATTGCTGTAAACCAGAATGTCTCTTCCAAACTGAAGCAATGTTAGTGATACCATTGAAAGAGGGAATCCATCATCTGACAGTAATGATCTTAGACTCACAAATGTGACACCAAGGTAACAAAACAAAACAAAGAACACAGCAGGATATTGACCCCCCCCTCCCCCAGGCTCCCCCCCTTTTGCACACATTGGACTGGATTCAAAAGAGGCTAGGGCAAAAACAAATCTTTCAAAAAGGTTTTTAGGCAGGGATTATTACCTTCATTAGATTGGGTTGTGTATGTACAGATTTCCTTGTTCCTTTTAATAACTCACTCTGTTCCTGGATATAATACATCAATCATACTAAGTAGTTGTTCATTTGGAGTTGACAGAAAAATGATTATGGACTTTTGTAAGGCAACCATGAAAACCATGGGGTAGATCTCAGTACTTATACAAAAATAAACTACTAAATCATATATTTTCTCACATATCTTCAGACTGATATGAAGAAAATTAGAGGCAATCTATACCTAAGTCTTACATGCTAGAAGAATCTACTAACACAGTAGGTGGTAATTGAAAAGAAGTAGGAAAATTCCTTGACTCTCAATATGAAACCTTATTAGATTTATCATTACGAAAACCTTAGCTCTGTAAGTCAAAGATGGGTAACTTATAGACTTTTAGAGGTTGGATAGTAACACATTAGCAATCTCTCACAAAGACAGGAGTTGCTGTCAAATATGTGAAGAACTGCTAGAGCACATGATGCCCCTATTAAAACAGCTACATTGGCTGCCGATAAATTTCCGGTCCCAATTCAAAGTGCAGATTATCACCTATATATCCCTAAACAGTTTGAGTCCTGCCTATCTTCACAGGTTGAGAACCACTGGCTTTGTCCCTAGTTATTCTGCGCAGTAGTCACACATCCTTGCGCTTTATCCTCTGCCCTCTCTCTAGTGTTGCAGCTTGCACTTATTCCATTCCTATTATTTACAGCATGGCCATGTTTACAGCAGCTTACCACCACTGGTTGATGACTTCAGTTTTTCTTTGTCAGTTGATGTTTTTATATGCATATGTGTTTTACTTTATTGTATTTTATATTGTGCTTCATTTTTAAGTTTGTTTTTAGCCACTTTGTGCTGTCTGTAAGCCGCCTCGAGTTCTTTTGGGGAGATTGTGGTGGGATATAAAATAAAATTATTATTATTATTATTAAGTTGCCCACCTCCACTCCTAAGATCTCAAAAGAAGGAAATCATACACTTCGGAAATGCACATAACATTCTGCATGCACACGAAGGACTTTGCTATTCTCCAGCCAATATGCAACAGAGTCCTGATTCAAAATTTTCACTGAAGTTTTAATGTTCTATACCTCCTACTTAAATTGTCAATAATAGAATGAAAATCCCAGGCAGAAATCTTCTTCACCTTTTGTTAAATAAACATTGAACATAAATCTGAAAACTATTTCTGATTTCTAAAGAAATATGTAATTATAGGCCAAGTTCCAATGCTTACAGCCGACATCAGTAGAACCAAGATTTTATTCCCACCCTACTGAGGCTTTTTGTGGCATCAAGACCTGTTCCAGACTGTTCTGACCACTAAAGTAGATTTTAGAATGCACAGGTGGCAGGAAGGACAGGGTTCCCAATTATTTGGCTTAGAATATGATCTTATAAACATACCTGGGGGAAAGCGCCACTGAACTCTATAGGGCTTATTTCTTAATAAACAAGAATAATATGGCATTGTAAAGACTGGAGTCCTAACACAATATTCTAAGTATCAAAATTAATAAATAACTTATTTTTAAAATGAAATAATACTTTATATGAACTATGTAGAATACCTTACCTCTGTTATCATTTTACAGCTTTTGCAGGGCCCGATTTGACTGAACAACTGAAGTATAAGCACCTCAGTAACATCTCTGGAAAGATTTCCTACATAACTAGACAGACAAAAAAAACATAGTATTAATCCAAAAATACATTCCTTGCCAATGATATTCCAAATAGTTTATGAAAATATAAGTTCCAAGTTTTATAAATAGAATGATGCTATCCAACGCTACATCACAAACAATACTGGTTGAGCATCCCTTAACCAAAATCCTTGATACTAGAATTCCAAACATGAAATTAATTTCATATACACCTTATGCACAATAGCTTGAGGAGAATTTTGTACACAATATTTTAATCATGCTGTAAATAAAACAAAATGTATGTACATTTAACTCTTAGAAAACCGAGGTATTACTACCTCAATTACCCATGTGGACAATACTGGAATATTTTGGAATTTCAGGTATGGGGTGCTCAACCTTTATTAAATAGTCAATTGCATTTAAAGTTAAAAGGATGTCATGCCAATAAAATAGCCATAAATTATTAGACACCCAAAGTGTGCAGGAAGAGCCAATACTGAATGCACCTATGCTCATATAAAATGTTGATTTTGAATCTTTGAAGAACACAAAAAAACAAGAAAAAATTACTGGTTCTGTGAGGAAATCTTCCAAGGGAAAAACTTGGAAGAGTTCTTCACACCTGTATGGATACTTTAACAATGAACATAAATACCACCCTGCTTATGCTGACATCACTCAAAAGTACTCTCAGATATCTGGAGAATGGGCAACAGTAATGTATATTCAGTGAAGTTTCCTTCTGAGTAATCATTTATGACTGTACTAAAAAATCAAAACTTCTATATCTAGGAAGTACTAGTGTAAAGAATAAATAAATATATTTCAAAAATAAAATGATGCAGAATGGTGGGGTAGAATCTTCAACTCACATACATCTATTAACTAATCACAAATTTCTGGAAATTCCAAAGTCATAGTGAAATAACTTTTTCAGATTTTCCTTTTTTACAAAAAAAAACTGAATAATTGAAAAATGCAATGATCATCCACTCAAGTACAGACTGATAGCCTTTTTCTTACTTTAGGAATATAATAGTCATTAAATATGCTTTGCATGAAATTATAGTGTTTGATATTGTAAAAGTTTATTCAGTATATGAAGTGGCCTTTTTAACACTACAAGGTCTGAAATCGTAAGGGATATCTAAACTACGAAGTATATCTTTGGTTTTACCAGTATGCAGACCAGGCAACCTCCATGACCCCAACCCCCAAAATCCCATGACATCAACATTATAAAAAAACCAGATCAAATTATTTTGTCTTTACTAGTTCTCCATTAGTATCAAAGCTATAACACAGGAACCCTGATCCATAAGGAGAGGAATGTTGCCCTTGTATCAATGAATCATTCGCATATAGACATATATACAGGCAGTCCCCAAGTTTTGAACAAGAAAGGTTTTTTAGGTTTGTTCTTAAGTTGAATTTGTTTGTAAGTCGGAACAGATACTTTTTAAAGTGTAACTCCAGCCACCTTTTTAAAACTCTGAATAGCACAGGGAAGGGTGAACACCTCTGTGGTGTTTGTTTTGCTGTCTCTGCCCCTATTCAGAAGAGTTCACTTCACTTTCTGTTCCTATAATAGGCTTATATAAGGCTTATCTGACCAGTGACTTCATTTCACATGCACATACAATTTTGAATAAAATCGCTGCACATATTGACCTGAGTCTAGAACCAAATCTTCTATCAAAGAAGAAATGCCCAAGAACACATTTACTTTGTTAACTCAGGTATACCTGTAAATGTACCCCTTTACATAAAATGAACTGATAAAAGGAAATCGGGATTAGGAATTATAGTAATCTGACATTCTATTTTAGATAAAAGTATTTATCTTGTATAGTGTTTAGAAATACTTTTGGGAGTAGTAAATAGTACAAACACCTAATAGTAAACATTTTATTCATAATTTTGAATCTACATTTTCAATTTTTCTGAAAAATTTGGAGCACTCGACCTACAATTTTCCTGTTTTTTCCTGGTCTCCCATATCTGGAGTCTACTTTGATGATTAAACCACCTGCCATAATACATATCCTTGGCTTTAAAGCGTAGCAAGACTTTTCTGTAATAGATGAACACAGATTCCAAGCATTGTTGTGATCTTGCTCAGCTTGGGTAGATCACTTTTCTTTTGTTCAACTTTCATGAAGTGTTTCCACATGTAACCTCTCTGTCCATGTTTCTCCTCCCTCAAGGCTCCTAAGATTACTTTACCACACATAACACTTTGCTCCTACGTTTAGATATTGCTGAGACCATGCAGACCTCACAACAATCTCAGGTCATAGTTCATACTGTTCTTCTGTTAACACCAAAAAAATATTTTTTCTTATTCTTTTGTCTAGCAGCAGACAATATGCAAAGATGGCATGCTTTAGTAAGTATTTATTTACTTATTAAGTATTTCAGGGTGACAGCTGCGATTTCTTTAGAAAATAAATCCTCTTCAAAGTGCTTATTTGAATACATTATGCTTTTTAATGATTATAGGAAAAAATAAAAAAGTTTATGAATTGTAACTAGACTAATAAAAGAACTAGATCATAAAATATTTGTTAGTGTTATAATGGCATTAAAAGGAATACTGTATTTTAGAAGCCAATTGGCCATTTGTTTTGACTGGTCTACCTTTAAATCAGGCATCCTCAAACTACGGCCCCCCAGCTGTTTGAGCCTTTGGCTCCCAGAATTCCTGACAACTGAATAAGCTCATTAGGGCTTCTGGGAGTTGGAGGCCAAACGGTTGGAGGGCCACAGTTTGAGGATGCATACTTTAAATGAAGAATCACAGAACTCCTGTATCTACTCAGCTGAAGTTGCCACTGATCAATTATGAAACTCAGTGGCATTTAAACATCTTGTAAGACTCAGTAATAAAATTTAAGACAGAGAAAGATGTCAAAAATGAGTTGTGCAGAATCTGACAGGCAATGAGTTAATATGTTCTCTGCATAAGGCTGCAAGGTCAGCATAGAAATGAAGTGGGGTGAAATTCAGGAAGAAGAATCAACACAGAATATTAGCAGCTGCCTTCACACTATTACTCAATACCTGTTACAGCCCTGAGACTAGCTGTTTTGTTCTTGTCTCAATAATTTTGCTGTAAATAAAATGTTAACCCTACAAACCACAAGAACCACTAATATCTCTACAATGAAATATGCTAACTTTCAACAGATACAAAACTCATTTTCAGCATCTATGCTTAAAAAACCAGGTAGATGATTCATCTTTGAACTACAATTGTGAATTCACAAAATATTAAACTAGATGCAATCAGTGTGAACAACCTTATTAAGCTGCTATTTCGCACAAGACAATAATGTTTGCTTAAGATGGTTCTTCTATTAAAAATCTCAAGTGCTTTGCTAATTGAGGAAAACTGCTACATCAGAATTTTTAATGTAACTCCCTTGCACCTAAATTCACTTGCAAGTTTGAACCAGAATAGGTCACTGACTCAACTGTTGAATGAAAGATCAAGACTCATGTAAACCTTTCTGATTCAATGGGCTTGCTCTAGTTGGGATGAGGAAGTGAATACTAAAAATATTTGGTATACTAAAGGCAGTTCTTTAAAAAGATGTCTCACACAAGATGTGAAAGATACCTGGAAAAACATATACAAAGTCGAAGATGTTATTCAATACAGGATAATCTATAAACCTTTCTTATGAAATCACATATTAGAAAAATAAAGTTTTATAATTATAATTATAATTAATTGCAATTGGGAAAATGATTGGGAATATGAAGACAGCCTACATTAAGCACAAAATGTATTTTCCTTTCTGTTCTCAAAAGGACATTTTAAACCTCAGAAATGTTTAGTCTGACTTAGTTACCATAATCTTGCAAAAGACTGTCATACAGGATTTTAAGTAAACTAAGTAATTGTATAAAATCCAATTTTTCTTCCAACTATTTCCTAAGAACACATAATTTGCAAAACCATAAATAATGAAATAAAGGCATATACTATACCTCTATAGGCTGTCTCCCTAATTCATGAGACATCACTTATGCTGCATTGACAGGCATAGTATAGAAACCTAGATAGATAACAGAAGTAGTTTATATTCTGACATATATAGGTTCCAATACTAGGTACTGTTCTGCATATGAAAAACATTCATATAAACTCCATAAAATAGAAGGAAAATTGCCCAGCCAATAAAATAAATTCAGGCAGGATGACAATACACACTTACCTCACTTGTGAATAATTCCTAATGAATTAATTCAAATTAAAAAGTAAACAATTACTAGTACCACACTGGTAATTTATGGAGATAGAATAAAAATAAATCTATCTACCTTACATGATGAATGTTTTGCATTTATCATGTTATGATCAAATTTTGACTTATATAATATGACCAACAAAGTGAAACCTGGATCTTTTAGTATGCTGACTGCAATTGAATTATTAACAAATGTTCAACATGGAGGAAGACTAGTTACAAACAAATACTTAATGTAGTGTCTGAAGATGCCAGTCATAGATGCAGGTGAAACATCAGGAGAAAATGCTGCTAGAACATGGCCATATAGCCTGGAAACCACAGAACACCCCAGACAATTAATGGCTTATAAGATTTACAACTGAGAGTTTAAATAATCTTTTCAAAGGAAAACCAAGAAGCTTGGTTATGGTAATCAGCTTCTTCTCTCCCATCATCCTAAGCAGCATTCAGGGCTCCTAGTAGCAGTTCCATATTTTTGATGAGATGTAGTAAAGAGCTGTTAAACTGAACAATTTTAATCCAAGTTCTTACTTTATTGCTTGATTGCATCATTTATTATTCTTTAGGGAAAGCTATTATGGACACTTTTGTAAGACTTGTGGTAATCGCCTACACAGGCTTGTCATTTTAAAATGCTTGACGATAAAGGGACCAACATTATTAGGAATCAAGTGGGACATTCAAGTGCTACAATTTTATGCAGAAGTAGCATAACCACAAGCTTGTCCCTCAATTTTCTAACACTTAAGGAAGGTGGTGATT